CACCTCTCCAGAAGCAAGTGACTGCAGCGTTATCCATAAGAGATGGGTTTTCATAAATTATTTTAGGGAACATACACTCTGACCTTGCTAGGGTGAACCAAGGGTCTGAACCTTGAGTGGGGAAGGGTGGGACTGCGTGAGGCCACAACTGACAAGGTTGTAGAACAGATTTCCTTGTGAGGAGACACTTGCTTGCAGACATGGGCCGTCCATGTTGGAGCAAGCAGGAAATGACTGAGAGAACACAGTGCAGCCCAGACACCAAAACATAATTGAGTCACCTCTCAAGAACAGAAGTCCCCAAGACAATGTCCTTTGAATTAGGTGAATTCGAAATTAACACCAGCCTGTTTGCAAAGGAGACGGTTTAGGTTATATGTTAAAAGCACGTGCATTGGGCTGGCCCGGTGGCGCTCCTGCCGAGGGTTCGGATCCCATGTGGTGACCGGTTCCCGCTCACTGGCTGAGCACAGCGCGGGCGCAACACCAAGGGTTGCGATCCCATTGCCGGTCCCCAGTACGGGCGCGACACCGAGAGTTGCGATCCCGTTACCGGTCAGTAAAAAAGACAAAAAGAAAAAAAAAAAGAAGCACGTGCACCGAGGGTTGCGATCCCGTTACTGGTCAGTAAAAAAGACAAAAAGAAAAAAAAAAAAAAGCACGTTCATTGCCTGAACAAACCTGAAGGCCATTCATTAGCTGGGACCTTCCGGTGAGCCACTCAACAACTTCCTTACACCTCAGATTCCTCAGCTGTGAAAGAGGATGGCAATGTACCCACCTCGAACTATTCTGTGACGGTGAAATGAGAGAATGTGAGAATGTACATAAAGCATGTAGCACAGGGTCTGCCACACAGTAAGCCTTCATGAATGTAAACTATTATAATCACTGTGCAGATCTTGTTATTGGGAAAACGTATATAAAAAGATATTAAAATAAATCATCTGGGTAAGGGAGCTTCCAACTTAGTTCAAAATATTTTGCTGATTGAGGCGAGGGAGAGAGTTAAGGAATCAGAAGTATAAAATAGGAGTTCAAATGCTGCCACCTTTTAGAAATCAAGACATGCTTCTGGTGGCCTCTAGGTCTAGCTCAACTCCAGAACTGGGAAAACTGATGAAAAACTTTTTGAATCTTTGACTATAAAATGCAAGCAACCCTTGTTTTTTCTTTGCAGTGATCTTAGTGCAGCTGTCTTGGCTATGCAGTGATAGACCATCTTGTCTTGGAAAATTACATTGCATTGAATAGGTGACAAGTTTTAATATTTCATGAGCCAGTGGGTATTGGGTTATTAAAATACAATATAGGATTTAAGGAAGCTGCCAGCTTGTTACCCCTTAGTTTTAAATTTAAATTACAGTTGGATATTGCTAGTGGGTTTTTCCTTAGTTAAAGGAATCAGATACTCTTAAGCAAAAGAAACCACTCTCAAGGTGTAGTTCTTAAAACCCAAGATATGGATTCAGAGGATTTGCACACAAGACCTGCCGCTTATATACTCTATTATCTACTCTGTAGACTTCCAGAGCTTCCGTTTCCACATCCCCAAAAGGTGATAATAACATAATAATCATCTCATAAGCTTTCTCTGAGGATCAAATAAAATGTGTAAAATGTTCTTTGTAAACTGTAAAATATTAGACAAATATTAGCTATGTGTTAGTTTTTTAATTCCTGCTGGTGGAAAAAACAGAAGTTGAAAGATCCAGGTTTTGATCCTGGCTCTACCCCTCCCAGACATGCGACCTCAGGCAAGTAATTTCATCTCTTACAGCCACAGCTTCGTCATCTAGGAAATATTCTTGGATTATGAGTCCTTTCAGAGGAAACAAGTTAGTTTGGAAGAGCAAGGGGTGAGAAAAGCAGAGAGATGTGCCTTGCTGCCATGGGGTGAGCAGGAGGTATGCTTCTGGGATGTGAAGGAAGAAGCTGGAGGCCACTGACTTTCGGGATGTGCAGAGTCCCCAGGCCTGGTGATGAGCAGTGGTCTGAGATATACACACATTGGCACTGGTCTAGACCTGTGACCCACAAAAACAACGGTGCCACTACTGAGGCTAGTCCTTCACACATTAGGCCATAGGCATTGTCCTGTGAATAGCAGCATGGCCAGCCATGACCTCTTCCCAGAATGCAAAATCAATTGACCAGTCCTGCAGTCACACTTGTGTGGGGCTTACACACGTTGCACAATGTTAAAAGCATCAATTCTTAGGACTAAGGGAAACAGAACAGGAGGACGTTACGATGACCCCTTGGAGTCAGACAGACCCGGGTTAGGACTAGGGTCAGGGTGCAGGGATTTGATGGGAGATGTGAGGGGTCTTCAGGAAGTTCGTGGGAAGATTCATATTATCTTTTAACTCTTTTTCCATGGACTTTTTGAAGTACCTTGTATATAGGAAGTGTGGGAGTAACTGGATCAGGACTCATGTCATTGAAATCCCTGTACTTGGGCCCGTTTTATCTACAATGCTTTCTGCCTCCATGTGTTTGACAAACCCAAATCCTAGCATTTTTCAAGATTCCTAGAAAATCTCAAATAAGCCCAATCAAAATAAGAATCACAGGTATCTTCAGGTTCCAAAATAAGGGTTGAAGTCATGAAAAACCCGAGATTAGAGGAAGAGGAGTGGATTGAAAGGAGGATCTCATGGCCCCAGGAACAGCTGACAGGTGGTGAATTTGTCCTCCAGGATGGACAGGATGATGAGACTGAGTGCGAGAGCAGGGTGTGCTCAGGACAGGTCATCTGTCTTAGGTGCTGTGTGGAATTAGGCGGGGAAAGCTCCACCAGGTAGATGTCTATCCCTACCAATCAGGAACTCCTCAGCTCCTTCCCCCAGCCAGAGCTAAACACAGTCACTGCTGAATTTCTCTCCAAGCTCCACATTCTCAACATGTCAGAGAGTTCCTAGTTTGGTTTATACAAGTATAGAGGCCTAGCTGACCCAAAAGGTTGTCTCTTAGATCAGACAGCCAGTAATGCCACACGTTTTAAACTTTTTCTTGTAGCTGTTCAACTGTAAGCAGTGCACTTAAGCCCTCCCAGCCTCGTTATACTCCGCTTTAACAGGGAAGTGGTAATACACAGTCCTCATGGAGCTGTTGAGAGGAATAAATGAGATAATGAATCTGAAGCTCTTAGAACAGTTGCTGACACAGAGGGAGGGCTCAAAAAATAGTGGCTGTCGCCCCCGTTTCCCCTAGCACTAGGGTAGCAGGAGCTTGTAGCCCTGCATAATAGGGAAGGAAACAGAGAAGTTAGCAGTTTGTGTAACTGAAAAGTCCAAGGCAGGGCTGGCTTTAGGTACAGCTTGATTTAGGGACTTGAGCGAGGTTGCTGGGACCTGGTTTCTCTCTCTCCACCTCCCAGCCCCTCTTCTTTGGCATTGGCTCCATCCTCAGACAGGTTGCCCTGCCCACAGAAGATGGCTTCAGCAGCAGCAGCAGACCATACACCTTTACAGACCCAGTGCAGTACAAGAGGGCACCTGTCCACCCCCAGAAGCCCCAGTAGAAGTCTCATCACACCTCACCAGCTCTGGCTGGGTCCTAGCACATTCCCTCAGCACTAGCGTGATGCATAGATTACCTCAGGCCGCCTCTGGAATTGGGGGCAGATCAGCACTACTGAAGTCAGATGGAGAATACAGAGAGGGTCATCTCTCGGAGGGACGTGGTGCTGAGTGCAAAACTACAGGTGAGCCCCCAGCACCACATCACCCCCCAGTTGAAGGAGTGAAAGCATTTGTTTAACATCCACTGGTGGGCCGGCCCGGTGGCACACTGCTACAGTGCGCCGCTTGGGAGCGCGGCGGTGCTCCCGCCGAGGGTTCGGATCCCACATACAGACCGGTTCCCGCTCACTGGCTGAGCGAGGTATGGGAGCAACACCGAGGGTTGCGGTCCCGTTGCCGGTCCCGGTCCGGTGCGGGCACGACACTGAGGGTTGCGATCCGTTGCCGGACACAAAAAAAAAAAAAAAAAAGACAAAAAAAAAAAAAGAAAGCATTTGTTTAACATCCACTGGTGAGCAACTGACTGATAGGGAAGGACACGTTTGCACCTACTGCAGATCATCATTAGCACACAGAGGCGTCAGCAAGCTGTAGGCCGTCATTGCTGAGTGTTGAGAGGACAGTCTAGTTCCAGAACGATCAGGACACTAAGTAGTCAACCAGAATCCAAAGAACTCAGTGAACTTCAATAACATTTTTAACAAACCTGCCAATTAGCAAAAATAAATCCAGCAGTGAATTAAACCCACCTGAGGCTATTTCCCATTCCTGTCATGGGAAACCACAGGGAAGTGCACATCCCTCAAGAACGGAGTGGACATCCTCACCCTAACCCCAGACCCCTTTGTGTCTGGTGGCAGCTGCAACTCCCGCACATGGTCCCTGCAGCGTGGTGTGGCTCACTCCTGACCATGCGAGACAGGCATGGGGCTGTGCACAGGTGCTGTCGTTCCACCTCACATTTATTCACCTTTCAGAGCGGGGCCTGAGGCCCAGAGCGGGCCAGTCCCCGTCCTTGTGCCCCTGGCCTGCTGTCCACACCCCAGCAGCGACTCTGCTCGAGCCGGGAGAGCGCCAGCCTTGCACACTGACGCCTGCCCGGTCTGCGTGCACTGCTCCAGACTTGCTGCCCTTGTCCTGCCTGCTGGGGTCTCTTCTCACCTCTGGAGCCTTCTCCCAGGAGGAGTGTGACATCTGGCCCCTTCCCATCCCCCACTGCGTGCCCTCCTTCCTCTCACCCGAGCCCCTCAGCCAGTCACCATGGAGCCCTGAGTGGGGAGGGAAGGGACTGCCCTGTGCACCCAGCTACTGACGCAGCACAGACATGCTGCCCTCATAGTGACCCTCAGGTGACAGCGCTCCTGAACAGGGCTCCGTCCACTCTGGCTTCAGGCACCGAGATGCAGGGACAAGGCTTCTAACCTGCTGGCACCCGGACCCTCTGATGAGGGGCTCTTTGCGCTGTTCTCACAGGTGACTGCTGGCTGCTGGCAGCCATCGCCTCCCTCACCTTGAATGAGGAGGTCTTGGCTCGCGTCGTCCCCCTAGACCAGAGCTTCCAGGAGAACTACGCAGGAATTTTCCGCTTCCAGGTAACTCAGCGGTCACCTCAGGCCTCCCTCAGCAGGTCCCTAGGGCTAGGAGTAGTCCCCTAGCTGGGCTCGGTGTTTGCAGACACCTAGGCCCAACTCTGTCTTCAGAGGGTGTTGGGGGGGGGGACATGGCCAGGATGGCCGCAGGGCCGCTGGGCACATAGAGCAGCATGTTCCGGGAGTAATTCACAAGTTAAAAAAACAGTTTATTATTTGAGGTTTGAGGCAAAATGTTAAAGTTCTCCTTTCTGCTGGCAAATGAGAAATAATATTTTGAAAAGCATACGTGGAGGGCAGAATGCTAGAGGGGGCTCTGGGTCTGCAGGCCCGGCCCGGCCTCTGTGTCACTTTCTCAGCGAGGACTCGCCTACAGCAGGAGAGCTAAGCAGCCTCCGCTCCCCGGCGGCCTCGTAGAGCCTCCGCCAAGGGCTGGGCAGGAGGAAGCCAGACGAACTGAGGCTCGGGCTCCCGGGGCTGCCACCAGCTCCTCCAGCCACCCTGTTCCCCTCCCCTTGTCTGCAGTTCTGGCAGTATGGCGAGTGGGTGGAGGTGGTGGTGGACGACAGGCTGCCCACCAAGGATGGGGAGCTGCTCTTTGTGCATTCGGCCGAGGGGAGTGAGTTCTGGAGCGCCCTGCTGGAGAAGGCATATGCCAAGTAAGTGGCCTCCCTGCCCCTGCCCATGGCCTGACCCCACTGTCCTGGATTCCAAAAAAGCTGGGACTATTCAAGGACTATTTTGAGCAGAAGTCCTCTTCTACAGAATGACTACTTTAGCCAAAACTGGGCTCTAAATTCAAGGAAATGGTGAATGTAGGGTGCCCGGCCACATTTTGCACTGAGTGACAGCTATTGCCATTCTTAGCCAAGTGCACAGGAACAAGCTATGGTGCAGACTGTGCTGGCCTTGAGAAGGAACTCTGCTTCCTTGGCAGGTCATATTGCATTTTTACCAACTAAAAACTTCAGAGTTTTTGCCAATGGGCAAAACTGCCCATTGCAGAGGTAGGAAAATTATGGAAACTTGCCCAGAGTTGATTAGAAATGGTCTCCCCATGCTCCACCCAGCTCCCTCCCCCTCTTAGCAGGTTGCCCCATGTCTGCCCTCTCCAGAATGGCCTCATCTTGGCCAGGCTGCCTGGGATCCCCACTCTAGGGCAGCAAGTGGACTTCGGTTGCTTACAGCCCCAGACCAGGAATGAGGGCTCTGGGTTCACATATCCTGAGTGATGCTTCTAAGTCCCGGTGCTCAGATACTAGACTTAGGGAAGCCACCAGACTCAGTCAGGAGCAATAAGTCCATGCTAACACGGTGCCTGTTTCTCAGGGAAACTGCTTTTGTTATTGAATGGTCTCTTTTTAAGCTATAAATGCCAAACAGCCAATTAGCAACCCTCCCCCTCCTGTCAGGATGTAGAAAGAATCAATACAGGAGGTTGGTGCGGATAATCGCTAAGGTCCTCCCAACTCTAAGGTTCTATGAGATTTTCAAAAAAACTTCAAAAAGTACCAGGGCAATGGTGACTGTGGAGACGGTACCTTACCTTCACGGGTAAACTGAGTTGGAGACAAAGCCAAGGAGAATGTGAGCAGAGTCCCTGGGGCATCTAACAAAGGCGGTGTGGGGTGGGGCAGATACTTGCGAGATGATAACAACAGCAGCAGTGACAGTGGCAACTGTGGTGGCAGCAGCACCGAATCCCCTCCTCTAGGATCAATGGGTGTTATGAAGCGCTCTCAGGGGGTTCTACCACCGAGGGTTTTGAGGACTTCACCGGAGGCATTGCTGAGTGGTTTGAGTTGAAGAAGGCCCCTCCCAACCTGTTCAAGATCATCCAGAAGGCTCTGCAGAAAGGCTCTCTCCTGGGCTGCTCCATAGACGTGAGTCCAGGCCTCCCTTCCAAGCCCCACCCGCAGTTTGCTCTTGCTGAAGGGAGGCTCAGTGCCCAGGGAAGCCCACTGCTCCTATTTACGATACTCATGCGCCCCGTGTACACCGTGCTGCTCATCACCTGGAAGCCAGGAGTTGCTGGGCAGCAGCCAGGCTGCCTGGGTGCCATGGATGGAAGGGCAGTGGCGCCTCCAGCTTTCCCCACTCAGCCCATTTCCCACTCTCAACCTGCTCTGATTTACCACCCCCAGACCACAAGTTTCCTGAGCACCCCCTGCCCTCTACTGGTCCTGAGACCTTCTCCTTGATCTGCAGGGCAGGACCTGGAGCCCAACACCCTTCCCCTTCCCTCTGTCCCAGGGTTAATGGGCCTGTGGGAAGACTTCAGAAGGTAGGGGAGAAACGATTCCTCATAATAGCCTTGCTGGCAGACCTCACCAGGGGTGAGAGGTGGGCAAATGTCCTGTCCCCAGGAGCCTCGAGGCAAAGGCTGTGCCCAATGCTGAGCCCTGTCCCCTACTACAGGACACCCCTGGGGGACAGAGATAAGAAGCCCTGGCTCTTGGGGCCAAAATCTCTGCCAGATGCTCTAAGCAAAGATTCTCAGACTTTCTGCAGACCATGTTGAAACAAAAGACCCTTTCCACTCTTAGCCCTTCTTCCTGTTTACCAAGACAAAAATAAAGCCTTCATCAGAATAGCCGGTGGGGGGTAGGCTTTGAGGATTTTCTAAGGCAAGAAAAGCAAACTCTGAACTCAGACTGGAAACAATGAATCATTGTAGTATAAACCATGCAGCTGGGCTGGGCCGCACCTTGGAGCTAGAGGACTCAGTGTATCTGGGTGTCTGTCTGTCCTGAGCCACTAAGGCCCCCCGCCGGCCCTCTTTGTGTGGTGTGCACTTTTCCCACCCTCGCTCCCTGCAGGAGTCTGGGAATGCACCATTCACAGCTCACTCTCCCTGAGGGCTGCATTTTGCCTTTTCTCTGGTTGGTCGAGTGTCTGAAAGTCAGCTCCTTGCCTCCTCCCCCAGGCCCAGCCCCTGCCCTTGAGCAGCTATAGGACCAGAGTGATCCAGGCAGGGAGGGAGGGAGGAAGGGTGGGTAGGAGGGTGGGTGGATGGTGTGGTGTCCAGCTGACTGTTGCCATGTTTCCAGATCACCAGTGCTGCAGACTCGGAGGCCATCACATTCCAGAAGCTGGTGAAGGGGCATGCGTACTCGGTCACTGGAGCTGAGGAGGTAATGGTGCAGCGCAGGTGTGCGGGGTCTTCCTCCCCTAACATGGTGGCCACTGGCCCGTTTTTTGTGATTGCCCAGGTGGGCCCTGCATCCCCCCATTCCGTCCCGTTTGCACACAGACCTTGTGTTCCAGCTCAGGCAGGAGTTGCGGGGGGGGCGGGGACCCTTGTGGCACAGTGGCCCTGGGGCTCTTACTTGACTTAGCTTCTTAGCTTTAGTCTTCCAGACCAGCTAAAGATAAAACAAGACTTTGCATCTGTAAGCGCTTTATACTCTTTAAACTGCTTTCACACTTGATCTCACAAAAGCTTTCAAATCTGATTGCCTATTACCAGCTGTGTGGCCTGGGCAAACTACTTAGATCCCTTGTTCCTGGTCTTTAAAATGGAAACAGTAATAGCCATTGTAAGGTTGCTGTGGAGACTCAATCCAGTTAACATATGTAAAGTGCTGAGACCTGCCTGACACACTGCGCACGAGTAGGTAGCTGCTGTTGTTACTGTTGTTACTATAAATATCGTCAGGTAGCCCAAGTTCACTGTCAATTACAAAACCCAAACTAGACCCCAGGTCTTCTGACACATTGGTGTTCTTCTTTATAACCTTGAATTTTTTAAACTATCCTCCCTCACCACCACCACACATTTCTTTTTATTTTGAAAATTTTCAAGTCTATAGAAACGCTGAAAGAGTAGTATAATAAATGTGCAAATGCTACTCTCCTAGATTCAGCAGTGAGCATTCTGCACACCTGCTTTATCTATATGTGTGTGCTTTTTCCTGAGCCATTTGAGGGTAAGTTGCAGACGTCGTCAGCAGACTCGGTGACACTCTACTCCTGAATATTTCGGCACTCACCTTCTACAAACGTGCACATTCCCTTATATAATCCCACTACTACTGTCCTGCCAAGAAAATAAACACTAATTCAGCAACATCATCTAGCGTATAGTGCACATTTACATTTTCCCGATGGCCCAACATGTCTTTTCTAGCACCCCCATGCAGGGCTGTCATGATCAGTGTACTGCCTCTGCTTGTCGTGACTAGTGTTCTTTCAACATGCACCAAAGCTCCTCTGAGCTCCTGCAGCAAAAAAACATCCTATTCTAGTCTGTTGAACTGAGGTTCAGAGGTCAAATGCCACCACAGACCCTAGAACAAAGCAACAAACACTAAAGAGCCTTGTCCTTCACTACCAGATCCTGGGAGCTTTGATTCCCATTTTACAAAGCTGGGCTGCTTTGAGAGGCTGGGGGTCGAGCCCCTTGCACCTGTGGTGACCCCCGCATGTCGCAGGGGCTTGGGCCCATGTACTTGCAGGCCTGCCTTGAACTCGGCCTCTCCCTTCTCTCTCCTCTCATCTTCAGGTTGAAAGTAGAGGAAGCCTGCAGAGACTGATCCGCATCCGGAATCCCTGGGGAGAGGTGGAATGGACCGGGAAGTGGAATGACAGGTGAGGAGGGGCCCCGGGCAGGGATCCAGGTGGTGGAGGTGTTCTGCTGGGAGGCTCTGGCGAAAAGGAGAAGGCAGGTAGCACTGGACACCATGCTGAGGACTAGGGCCTGAGAGCCCAGGCCACGCTGAGCGGGCCTGGGGCAGGCGGCCGCCTTGAGGAATCCTGTAATGAGGAGACAGCTTCCTGTAGTCAGTCCGGTGCCTTTCCCCAGGCCAGGGCTCCTGGGATGTTCATTCCTTTCACTACCTCTCAGTTCCTTCCTTCCCCAGCTCAAATCCACCCTTCTATTGGGCCTTCAGGGAAAAAAATCCACCCCATCTGCCCCCAAGCACTTTTTCTATTTTAAGAATACAAACTTTGTGTTAAAGACGAGAAAGACGTCTCTCTGTTGACTTCTGGGGCTTCCTGATAGCCTGTAAGACCTTCAACAGTTGGGGTAAACTCCTGTGTGAGCCTCGCCCGGCGCTTGCCCCCGCCACCCTTCCGCCTGTTCCCTGGCCTGTTCCCAGGTGACCACGGCCATGGCAGAGGGACGCCTATCCAGGCTTCCTTCCCCGTCAGCTGCAGAGACCGAGATGCAAGGCTTCTCGCTGAGTTTTCAGTTGCCCTTAGAGGCTGCAGACCCATCTCAGTTTGGGCAGCTGGGGCTACTGAGTCTCTCTGTGATGGGCGTCTTCATTTCCGGACTCTTCCTGGCCACCGTCTTCCTGGCCAGCCCATCCTCTCCCCCTGCTCCCTGTCCTCATGTGCGAAGTACAGAGTGTGGCCCTCAGGGAAGAGTGGACGCTGCGCCCCTCGACGCCGGAGAGCGCGGGGAGAAGCCACTCCTCACACTTGTTCTAATGCCTCTCCTGCCACTTCGTTTTCCAGCTGCCCAAACTGGAACACTGTAGACCCTGAGGTGAGGGAAAGGCTGACCAGACGGCATGAAGATGGGGAGTTCTGGTAAGATTGGCAGAGCCTTCAGAGAAAGATGTGTCTGCCCAGCGTTCTTTACTACAAAATTGCTAACGAGTATCAGCCAAAGGGGGGTCTATCATATCGAGGGCACAAGGGTGCAGGACCCTGGTTTTGTTTCTGTTTTAAATTCTTAAACCTTTTTAATTCGTCCATCTCAGCAATGGGGTTTATGAGCTTAGCAGCTTCACAGAGAAGGCCGAGAGGAATTCCCACGGTAAAGTTCACATCCCAAGAGAAAACAAGGGGAGAGATGGGGCCTTTCTCCCCAGCAGTTCCTGGAGATTCATCCCAGCCCCTTAGTGAGCAGTGAGGGCCCCACATCTGTGTGTCTGTGCCGCTCTGAGGACCCCACCACCTGCACACAACTTGCAGTTGACCACCAGTGCCCGTACGTCCTCTTGTCTGTTATTCAAGGCTCCCATTTTTACAGATGAGACTTCTGAGCTTCAGAGGGGTTTAAGTAACTGGCTCAAAGTCCCCTGCTAGGAAGTGGCAGCGCAGGACTGGGATGTGGGCCTTGTGATTCTGGACTTGGTGTCTGCCCATTTGTGGCTCCTTGTCTGGCCTTGGCGATGTGTCCTCTTGTAACCTGGGATGCCCGGAAGTGGCAGCGCAGGACTGGGATGTGGGCCTTGTGATTCTGGACTTGGTGTCTGCCCATTCGTGGCTCCTTGTCTGGCCTTGGCGATGTGTCCTCTTGTAACCTGGGATGCCTGTGTCTCTGCTTTTGCCAGGATGTCTTTCAGTGACTTCCTGAGGCACTACTCCCGCCTGGAGATCTGCAACCTGACCCCCGACACCCTCACCAGTGACACCTACAAGAAATGGAAACTCACCAAGGTGGATGGGAGCTGGAGGCGGGGCTCCACCGCGGGCGGCTGCAGAAACTACCCCAGTAAGCCCTGGCCCCGCACGCTTCACCCCAGCCCAGCAGCGGGGAGCAGCTATGACTCACTGGGGCGGCCCTCTCTGTCCTGCTTCTCCCTGAGCCTCAGTCTCAACAGCTTCTCTGTTTTCTCAGCCCCATCACCTCCTGCATTCATTGGCGGCTCTAGATCCCCTGGCACGTCTACTGAGGCAGTTCTCAGTCCCACTTCACACCCTAAGCCCGGCCACCAAGCCTGCAGGGCAGCCCACCCACTGCACCCCCGGGGGCCCCTGCACATCTGGCGCGGTTGTCCCACAACCCTCTTGTACGCCCAGTTCACTCAGCACACAAGAGGGGGACGAGGACTTCTCTTATCCAGTCTGTGCAGACCTCTTGACTCATCTGCCTTGGTGGCACAGTTCATCAAAAATTGTCCAATTATGATGGCATCTGCTGATCACGGAGCACACTGTGGGTGCTAGGGACTGTCCTAAGTGCTTTATGTATATTATTACACTCCATCTCCCCAACAGACTTCTGAGGCGGGCACTTTGGAGAGGTTGAGTGACTTGCCCAGGGCCACACAGCATGTTTGGATTTGAGCCTAAGCAGTCTTGACCATGGAGTCATTCTTTAAGTATTATGGTGGCAGGTCCTGGTCATATACTGACTCTCTGCTTCAGATGAGGAAACTGAGGCTCTAGATGGCATACCAGGGCCACAGAGCAAGTAGTCAGACTGGGACTAGCTCTGGTGCTCATATTCCTTCACTCTAGCATGTAGTCACCAAGCGGCAGTTCCAAAGGCCACCACTGCCCTCTCTTACCCACAGAAATACCTTTCCTGCCCACTAGATCAGAGGTCAGCAAACCCTCTTCAAAGGGTCAGATGGTAGATACTTTTGGCTTTTGGGGCCATTCAGTCTCTGTGGCAGCTACTCTACTGCTGTAGCCTAAAGGCAGCCATACTTAAAGGAATGAGTTCCAATAAAATTTTATTTACAAAAACATGGGGCTATAGCTGCTAACCCCTGTACGAGATAATGCCATCCGATTAGGTATGGGAAGGCAGTCAGCACAATTACCCTCCTGTAAATGGACTTTGGAAGTGGGGAGGGCAGAGACACCATGGCAGTGGGAAAGGGGATGGGCCTGAGAGGTCAAGGATCACAGAACAAGAAGCTGTGATTGTGCATGGGATGTCCCTATCCTCTGGGTCCACTGAGGGGTAGGGGCTAGCTAGTGTGTAGAGAGAAGACACCATGTCCCCTCAGCCATGCTAGGGGGCCCACCTCTGACCTCCCCATTAGAGCCCTGTGAAGGGTAGGTTGCAGCAGGGGGGCGGCTGCACTAACCACCCTGCCTTCAGGGTGACAATCAGTCCCCAAGACAAGCCAAACGGGGGGCACAAGGGAGAACTGCAAGGGCAAGTTTCTAATTTAGGTCCTCGTGCAGTTCAGACAAGTGCAGCCATCCTCTTGCAGCACCCCCTCCGCCCCCCATGACCCTGGTTCCCCTGCTCCCTCCATCAGCTCCATCTCCCCCATCTCCACGTGGCCTCCCACCCAAGACCCCCAGAGCCCTGCCCCCCCACCCCGCTCAGGGCTGGGTTCAGCTTTGTGCCTCTCTCTGGCTACAGACACCTTCTGGATGAACCCTCAGTACCTGATCAAGCTGGAGGAGGAGGACGAAGACCAGGAGGACGGGGAGAATGGCTGCACTTTCCTGGTGGGCCTCATCCAGAAGCACCGGCGGCGGCAGAGGAAGATGGGCGAGGACATGCACACCATCGGCTTTGGCATCTATGAGGTGTGGGCAGGGCTGGGGTGGGGCTCAGCCTCCGCTTCCCCCTAGTCTCCTCTCAGCCCCAGCCTGAAAGGCTGACCCCAGACAGGAAGCTTAGCCAAAGAAAAGCAAACCACGGGCCCGGCCAGGCTTAGGAGCAGCTCACACAGGGAGGCCCCTGAAGCTGGTCTGTGTCACCGGGGGCCTCCGAGCCCTTCACTGGGCACCCCCAGACAGCTTGCTAGGAGTTCCTCTCTTAAATGGCCTCTGCACCCCTTCTCACACCCTCCAGATTGGCCAACCAATCTCCAAAGAACAGAGGAGACTTAACTTGAGAACAAAACATACTGGACTACATCAGGACAGTGGTGGAGAGCTGGGACAGGAGGACAGAGGGTCATTATGCACCCTGCAGGGCTCTGCTGGCTGGAACCAGTGTCTGTTCACCACCATGTCCTCCTTTTATTCTGAACCAGCTTAGAGGAAAGCCCACTTAGCGCTGCCAGAGGGGCCACATTGCTGCTGCCACCCCTGCAGATGGGGCTGGGCCCCTGCCTTCCCCACATCTTTCTGTTGCACAGAAAAGAGTTTTTCACAGCCCTGGATTAGCAGTGGAGGGAGAGGGCGAGGAGGACTTTAGGGTGCTGATGTGGGTGCATTTTGGACTGATAGGTGGCATCCAGGGCTGTGCTGGAGCCAGCTCCTGCCTCCCAAAGCCAAATGCCTCAGCCCTGTGTTCAAGGGGGTCACACTGACAGCCTGAAAATGGCCATGGGGGGTATTTACACCATGGAAAAGGGCAAATACCACAGATCAGGGCTTCCAGCCCTCGTCGAGAGACAGCTCCCCAACACACCACTGGTAGATCGCAGACGAGGGTCAGGGAGAAGGCTCTGCTCACTCATCGCTGCCACCGGTGGACACAGGTCTTACGTCTCTTCACCATCGGAGAAATGGAGCTGAGCAAACACTGTCAGTTCTAAAAGTGTACATAATTCCACAGCCTTTGCTCTCTGGAGTAGGAGCTGTGGATCTCAGATGAACACAAACTGAATTGTGACATACAGTCCCCCACCCCCTGCCCCTGGCTTGGAAATCCTGTCACGGGCTCTTAAAGAGTTGAGGCAAGAGAGGGGAAGGGATTGCTCAAGGAAACGCAGGCTGCACATGGCTGGCAGGGGCCTGGCACCGACGCTGCCGCCTCCTAGCCCGAGCAGGCACCCTCGCCCACTTCCTCCGGCTGGGCCGGCCCTACCCTCCCTGGAGGGGCAGCGTGCAGGCTTTGCCACACCTCACATCTGTGCCCCAGTTTTACGCCCTATAAATTGGGAATGGTGGTGGTTGGGGCTCGTCCAAGTTACCACCGGGTCATAAGAAGGTTTTTTCAATGTGGGAATGCTTGAGTTCATTGGAAGACAATGACTGTCAACTTAGTTGATAGTGCTTAACACTGCAGAGAAAAGGAGACAATCACGGTGCTGGCAGTTTCCTTTGCCGCTCTCCCAGAACCTGACTTGTGCCTCTCTGTTTTGCAGGTTCCAGAGGAGGTATGTCTGTCCCTGGGGGCTCAGATCCACCAACTCGTAAGAGGCGTAGACTGCTGGGGCTCAGGGAGGGTCATGAAGCTTGGGCAGGGGCTGGCGGCTGTGAGTCCTCACCCCTCCTGGGGCGCTGGGGAAGTTGCTTGGGTTCCAGATCCTGCTGGTCTAAGCTCAAGACAAGGTATCTCAGGAAGTTCCTGGGGGGCTTGCTGCCTCCCTGTGACCTGAAACACAACTCACAGTCCTAGGACTGCAGGAGGCTCTTCAAAGAGTCCTGTGTCACTCTGAGAACAAGCCTGAATCAGGGAAAAGATGAACCCTGCAGACTGCCCTGTAAGATGATGTGGGAGCACAGAGAAAGGGACCGGTATCCACTCCCTAGGCTGTGTGACGTTGGACAAGTTACATATCTTCTCTGCACTTCACTTCCTTTGTCAGTGAAAATGGTGAACCATCCACCTCCCCAGACTACTGCGGGGATATTCATCTTGCATAAATTATGCAAGAGCATTGAGTAGACCCACAATCAGTGTTAACTGGGTCAGATGGGATGCATAGCAGCTGTGTGACTTTTATTAAAGTAGACACACGTGGCAGCTGACCCACCGCAAGACATTTGTTTCACAGCAAGGCAGGGCAATGGGGAGCAGGTTGGGCTTTTTGGACACTGCTCCTGAGTTCTGGCCCCAACCTTGGTCCAACGGACCCCACTCGGTTTAACAGGGGGCCTTCTCTGCCCCGACCTGTCTCTACTTTTATTAGTGTGTCACACACCACACAGGACCAAACTGGAGTCATGTGTGTGGAATCTAACCCCCTGAGAGTCAATTAGAGGAAGGCTGGGGACTCCGTGTGGAAAGAGGGGGTGTCTGTGGGCAGAGTTCTGTGGACGTGGGACCCCCTGTTGCAGGTGCCCCTGAGCTCCTCAGCGGCCATTTGTGGTTTTGGGTAGAAAGTTTGCTTTTTATCTAAAATGGTCCAGACGTTGTCACTGTAATCCTTTTGTCTTGAGGGGTGAAAAAGACATCTATTGGAGGCTTTCTCCCCTCTGCTCTCACTGTTTCTGTTTATCCATCAGTTAACGGGACAGACCAACCTCCACCTCAGCAAAAACTTCTTCCTGACGACGCGTGCGCGGGAGCGCTCAGACACCTTCATCAACCTCCGGGAGGTGCTCAACCGCTTCAGGCTGCCCCCCGGGGAGTACATCCTTGTGCCGTCCACCTTTGAGCCCCACAAGGATGGGGATTTCTGCGTGCGGGTCTTTTCTGAAAAGAAAGCTGACTACCAGTAGGTCATCGGGTCCCTTCTTTCTCCCACTGCTTCCTGTTCCTAGCAGGTCTCAGCCTGGCCCGTACAGAGCTCTTTGCTCCTGAATGTCACCTTCTTTTACTATAATACCTGCCTGCCTTGAGGGGTTAGTGTGGAAGGTTGATGTATTGAAGAATTTTACAAAGAGAAAAGCCACTCAGGATGTTTTTGGTTGGAAAGGGTGGTTGTAGAGTGAATTGCAGGATCGGATTTCACAGCTGTGTCTCTGAATAGTCAGCTTGTCCCTTTCATGACCTGTTCCTACTGTGAACCCAGACTTGTCATCTGGAGAAAGCTGGGCAGTGCCGGCATAATTCTTGCTTTCCCAGGCCTAAGGATGATCTCAACATTGAGATCTCGATGGTCCCCGTCCCCAGAACCTTTCCCTGTTACAGTCATTAGGCCTCTGGGCCCCTCCCCCTCCCTCGCTGGATCCCAGCTCCCTGCCACTGTCCATGTGGTCTCAATCCTCAGTGGCTTCTGCCACTTTGGCTGCTACCTCAACCATGTATATTCATCTGGGCACCTGAATGGCAGAGACAGAGTCAACCTTGGGCAATTTAAACAAAAGCAAATTCATCGAAAGGCCACTGGGAAGTCCAGAGCTGATGGGAGGATGGGGGACAGGACAGGAAGAGCAGGAGCCGAGGATGTGCTGGGGGACCAGGGTGTGGTCCACAGCAGGTGCTGTGCCCCTCTGACCTTGTGCCACACGTTCAGGTCCAAAGGTCCTGTGCAGTATGTCCAACGGGCTGGATTCGGGTTGGCCACCTGGCCCACTGGCTCCTGCAGAGGGGAGAGAGCAGTGGGAGAGAGAAGCAGGGACTGTCCTTGCTCCAAGACAATGCACAACAGAGAGATAATTCCCCACGGGGAAGGGAGAAGAGTGTCAGTACAGCACGGCAGCAGCCCTGCCATGATACGGCTGCAGCCCTGCCATGACAGTCTCTCTTTTTTTGCTAAAGCATGCCATGGTGAAGGGGCCTTTCTTCTTAGCTCTTAGGATGCTTGAAGGAAGCATGATGTATTCAGCTTAGTCCCCACTGATAAGCACGGCAGCAGCCCTGCCATGACAGTCTCTCTTTTTTTGCTAAAGCATGCCATGGTGAAGGGGCCTTTTTTCTTAGCTCTTAGGATGCTTGAAGGAAGCATGATGTATTCAGCTTAGTCCCCACTGATAAGGAAATGGGGATGTGACCTGGTGGCACTGGAATTATACTGTCCTTTGTCAAACCCAGTGCTCTGCCTCCCTGCCATTCATAGGCCATTGTCCCAGAGAGGCCTCAACCCTCTCAGTTCTGTCCAGGGTGAGCTTCCTAGCGTGCCAGGACAACCCACTCCTCAAAGGTGTCTCTAATTTCCTCTGTCCCAGGGTATTAAACCTTCGGTTCTAGATTCCAACTATCAGCACCAGGAGGTCCATTATCCTTTCTTCTGTGAGGTGTTGGCCCTCAGATAGGACTCTTGGTAGCCTAGTTTAAGATCCCAGGGGCCCAAGGAAGACCCTAGTAAGCTTAATTATCCTCACGACAGAGCAAGAGGGGCCCAGCTCCGCACACAGGGACATGCACAGATAAGCAAACCACTGCCTGAGCTTCAGTTGAAATTACACGCGGGCCTCCGCGCTGCCCGCCTGTCCAACCTGAAGCAGAACGAGTAGGCAGTGGTTTATACTGCGTGATTCTCAGTGTGAAAACCTTACGGTGGCAACCAGTTTCACATGGGACTACATGAAAAGACTGCTATCAGACAAAGACTGAACACTAGCAAACAAAAAGCTCAACCGCCCAAGTTGTTTTGGTCATGGCACTCCTTCCATCATTTCTGCCTTCATCCCCCACTGTTTAGGGATGTGATAGCAGCAACTTGGGATGCAGAGAAACCCCCTCCGCCCACCCTGTGCTGGATTTAATGTGGCACTTGCATTTTAGCAGTGATTTCTGCAACACTCCTGTTCGCCCTCGCCTGCCTTCCAATAACACATCGTTTCCTTCTATTTCCAGAGTTGTTGATGATGAAATCGAGGCCAACCTTGAAGAGGTACTTGCAGCTCCTTCAATTCCACCCACTCTGTCCTGGACAACCCAGAGGGCAGAGGAGCAAAATAACAAGAGTAGAGGGAGGCTTCCTGAACACAGCTGAGGCCAGACACAGCCCTGCACTGGGGGTCCGGGCCTGCTTCCCGCACCAGCGCTGGCCTCTGCACTGGGGGCCTGGGCCACTCCGTTGCCCACTGCTGTGCTCAGTAACCACTGTCAAAACCCATCCAGAACATTCCAGCTAGTCTTTGTGCTTCCAAGTCCCTATTAGAATAGATCATGAAAGGCCATTTTGAATGAATGTTAGAGAAGATACCTATGTGAGAAATTAGAATATGACTCTTCCCACATAATGGATATTACCTCTCATGTGTTTTAATTAGGGGAAAAAACCCTCCTATTAATTCTTCACACTGTCCTTTATCTCAATCCAATAACCTTAGAATTCAGGCACAAGAGAGGGAGAGAAGGGGCATTCTGCAGGGGGTGGGCTGCCAAGGAGCAGCAGCAGGTACTTGCTGTCATCCTTTGTTCTGATTCTTTCTAATTTCTTTTTGATTGATTGATTTTTTCGCCTAGGGGATCAGACTAGTAATGTAGGGTTTTTTTGATCCATTCTAATGTCTGTGCCTCACCTTCCAGATTGACATCAGCGAGGACGACATTGACGATGGCTTCAGGAAACTGTTCGCCCAGTTGGCAGGGGAGGTAGGTGTTCCCGGAAACTGTTCTGGACTCTGGTTGATGCAAAGGAAAAGACAGGGCTGTCCTCAAGGAGACTTCAGTTTATTTTTTATTTATTTTTTTAAAAAGATGAACCCTGCAGATCTTAACCCTTGACTTGGTGATGTCAGCACCACGCTCAGCCAGTGAGCCAACCGGCCATCCCTATATGGGATCCGAACCCGGGGCCTTGGTGTTATCAGCACCGCACTCTCCCGAGTGAGCCACGGGCCGGCCTGAGGAGACTTCAGTTTAAAGGGGGAGAGGAAACAAACAGAACCAAAGACAGTTGCCGGTGTAACTCAGATTTCAGCTCAAACCCCTGGCCACATCCTCAAGACCTCTGCACACTGCCAGGGGCTTCCATTTTCATGGTCAGCTCTGGCTCTCCTTAGGATCCTGGGCTCATCCTATGGCTCTTCTCTTTTCTCTGTTCCATGCCAACTGAGGCATGAAACTTGGCCCCTTACCTTGATTTCCACAAAAATCTTTGGGGAGGGCCAAGCCCGTGGCGCACTCAGGAGAGTGCGGCGCTGGGAGCCCAGCAGCGCTCCTGCCGCAGGTTCGGATCCTATATAGGGATGGCTGGTGCGCTCACTGGCTGAGCGCGGTGTGGCCAGTCTCAAAAAGGACAAAAAAAAAAAAATCTTTGGGGAGATGGAAGGGTTTCAAATCTCAAGAATGCAAACAACTAAAAATAGACACTCCTGTTCTTAAAAAAAACCTTAAGCCATTTAGGCACATTACAAAGTCATTCAGCCCTTTTTCCCAACAACTGCAGAAATAAGTCATCCTTCTTCACGTGGAGGAACTCAGCTCTCTCCAGCATCTGCCGTTGAGCTCACCCGGGCCTCCCTTTGCTTAGCAAAGACTCCTCAAAGTGCTACGCCAGGCGCCGTCCGATCCACGCCCTGCCTCTGTCTCCCCCACTCCTGGTTTCTCAAAGAAAAGGGGCATTAGAGTCTTTTTTCCCCCACTGATTGAATCAAACGCACATACGTGCGCCAAAAAGGCAAAAATAACTACAATTAATCTTGGTTTTAAACAACGGGGCTTGTCCATTAGTTACACAAATATGCATAAGTCATTGTGGAAGTACCTGAACTGCTTCTGAGGAGCCTGGCACAATGGGCCACAGAGAATGTTCTTGGAAACAGCTGGTTTTAAACAGAAGCCTGAGATCTAAAGGATGAAGAAAGCATGTTTGATAGGAGGAACGGTGTAAGAGAACTAACTCAAGAATGACCGCAAAATGTTTTTATTTATATTCTCTACAGCAAAGAAATGGTGAATGAACTGTACCTAGAGCACACAGTACATTAAATCGAAGTGTGGTCTGGGGACGGTAGCAGCAACATCACCTGGGGCCTTGTTAGAAATGCACAGAGACCCCTGCAATCCTGCCTAATGCATCCGTTACACGTTTGCTGCCCTGTGCTCCATCCAGCTCCCACAGGAGCCAATAATGATGCTCTGCTTGCATGTCCACAGGACGCAGAGATTTCTGCCTTTGAGCTGCAGACCATCCTGAGAAGAGTTCTAGCAAGGCGTAAGTGTCCCCTCATTGCAAACCCCTCATCCTGCTCCTTCCCCATGGGCGGGAGGGAACGTGAGAGCCCTTCCCTTCCACGTAGTGGCTGCTGTGACTAAACTATCACTCCCTTCTTCTACGTAAATACTGCCACCGCCACCCCCACCAACAGAGAATTGGATGAAGGAGGGTCTGTGTGATGTGATAAAAAAGAACAAAGGTTTCCAGGGTCTAAAGATCAAAGATCAAATCCAGGTTTCTCCCACTTACTAGCTTTGTGATCTAAATCAAGTTACATAACCTCTCTGACTTTCCTTATCCGCAAAATAGTCATCTTACTACTTTCCTCTTAGGAGTGGCTGAGCATCTTAAACGAGGTAACAGGTAGAAACTGCTAGCACGAAGCCTGCACTCCGTAAACGGCAGCTGTTTTGATAACTAATTGGTAAGAAAAAGCTGAGTCAGCCAAGACAATGGGAGCTAGAAAGCACTCCCAATTCCTGAGTTCCCTGGCTGAATTTAGTGGGGAATCATTGATATGCTGCCCATCTCACTGATTAGCCAGAATGGAAAAATAAGAGGACCATCTTATATACAACTGGGAAATCAGACTTTAAGTATTTAAGTAAGTCTTATCTGACCCGTTCTTTACGGTGACAAATGTCACTTCATTTGAGCCAATGGGCCAAGCAAGTGGCTTCAAGACTCCAAAAGTGGCTGCACCTAGCCTAGACTGTAGGGCTCCTGAAAAGAAGGAACAGAATTGAATGGAAACATCTTGTAACTGTTTCTTAAGCAGAAAAACATCAGAGGATTGATTGTTCCGCCCCTACTGTTGATCACCAGTGGGAGGAGGGGGAAACACACACACATTCTATCCCAAACATCAGCCCTGTGGATCACCTCCAGTAAGCAGAAAAACATCAGAGGATTGATTGTTCCGCGCCTACTGTTGATCACCAGTGGGGAGGAGGGGGAAACACACACACATTCTATCCCAAACATCAGCCCTGTGGATCACCTCCAGAAGTCTCATGGACTTCAAGGACAGTGGACAAGACAGTCTAACCCCAGGAGAAAGAAGTATATCCTCCTGCTAGAGCCAAAGAAGTGTCCAGGGCCGGCCAGATCTTCCTGTTCCAGCATACATGCACAACATACTCCTCACAGGAACCACCGATGACTGGTCTCTGCCCTGTGGCCACTGAACAAATGGCTGTATTAGAGATTCTGTACTTGACAGAACTCCTCAGCAGGAGGGTCGGTATGCCCCAGGCACAGCCAGTCCAGTGCAAGACTTCCCCAAGCTGGCCCCAGCCTGCACCCTCGGGCCATCAGGCAGAGGTGAGGTCACAGGGATCTTCAGACATGCAGCCATCAGGAGCCGAGGAGACAAAGCCTCATTGCTTCTGTGCAGATGGAGGGCGGGGTGGGAGTTGGGAACACTCAGGTCGTGCTTGTATTCAGCCTGTTCCTAGCTGGGGGAGCAGTGTTCACATGTGCCTCTGAGCTCAGCACCCTTGCCCTGGGGCTGCCTGGTGACTCCAGCCTCTGGGCTAGAGCCTCGTGCTCATACCTAAGAAGGGGTTCGTGCCCACAGTGGCAGCTTTGAGACATGTTAGGTTCTGCCCTTTCACAAGGACATAGCAAAAAGGGTAGGCTCCTCATGAAGTTTGTGGGGGGCCAGGTTCATATTTGTGACAAGGGTCTCAGACCATCTGCCAGCCACCAGATAGACAGGACTCACCCAATAGAGCACAGTGGCTCATGGAGCTTCCAGGTCCTCAGGCTTCTTCAGCTAGAGACACAGACACTTTATAAGTGCCTGCAGATGGACAGTCCAAGTACACCTCTTCCTCTCACAGGTTGTAGCCTAGAATCAGTGCACCTGCCCTCCGTCTTTCTTTTCCCTGCCCAGCAGCCATGGGTGACTTTATCCCCTGTGAGCACGTAAAGGCCCAGCCATTTATCATTCTTTTATTTATGTATTTTAAAAAGCACTTATTGGGGCCGGCCCGGTGGCGCACTGGATAGTGCACCGCTTGGGAAGCGCGGCGGCGCTCCCACCCGAGGGTTCGGATCCCACATACAGACCGGTTCCCGCTCACTGGCTGAGCGAGGCGCAGGAGCAGCGCCGAGGGTTGCAATCCCATTGCCGGTCCCCGGTCCGGTACGGGGGCAACACTGAGGGTTGCGATCCGTTGCCGGACACGGAAAAAAGGCAAAAAAAAAAAAATCTTTTTATTGTGGTAAAATATGCATAATAGAATTTACTGTCTTAATTATCTGTAACTGTACCATTCAGTGGTATCAAATACATTCGTAATGTGTGTGCGACCGTCACCACCATCCGTCTCCTGGTCTGCTTCTTTAAGAGTGAGTGGTCATTGCTTCTAGGGCTTTCCAGTGAGCTGAACATAGAAATCTTTTTTGTTTTAAGATTAAAACAGATCATGAGTTCATAGGCTTCTTATTAAAACCTGTTTGTAAATATACAGAGAAGTCAGCAAATGTAACACACCCGCTGCACTGTCCCAGAGTGGTAGCCACTAGCCACATGTGACCACTGAAAGTAACTTAAGTGGCTACTGTACTGGAGACTGTAGACAAAGGCGTTTCCGTCACTGCAGAACGTTGTTGGACAGTGCTACCCTGGGAAGATTTTTCTGTCACACTTATCTTGTCTTTCAGGGCAAGATATCAAGTCAGATGGCTTCAGTATTGAGACCTGCAAAATCATGGTCGACATGCTGGATGTATCCTTTAATGTGCTCCAGAGAACAGAGACTGGGGGAGTTTAAAACCTCACTGTGGGAAGACTGGAACACACTGCCTTCTCCTCGTTCAGGATGGCCAGTTGTCCCCAACTTGCTGAGTTGTGGGACTTCGTCAGCACTGATCTCCCTCACTAGGGAAATGTACTAAACCTCAGATGAAGGAAAGCAAGGTGCCACAGCCCTCCCGCCCCACAGACTCAAAGTGCGGGGCTGCCAGCCCGCTCCGGGGTGGTGCAGGAAATTCCTGACAGTATGCCCACCATTAAAGCAGCTTGGATTTGTTTCCTGAGTGACAGCATTTGCACTACTTCCCCTAGGGAGATAGTCTCTAAGCCATTATATTTCTGATGTGACTGTTTTCCCTGGTCAAGACTGTCTTTTTCACTTGTAGGTAATTGGCCAACCCACACAAGCATCTCCTTCCCCTTTGCTCGAGCTCCTTCTAGGCCACCTGTCTGTCCCTGAGGCAAACTAGCCATCTGCCTTCCCTTTTTTTCTGATGCTTGGTGAGAAGTGATGGTAAAGGACAGCCTAAGCTTCTGTGACATTTTATCTAGTAGACTCAGGCATGCACCCACTAGCTCCCTTCACAAAAGTTCTCTTGAAATATTCCAAATAATTCTCAAAAAAACAGCAAGGGCCCAGCCACTAGAAGCCATCTAAAGCCTTCTGTAGATCACCCAATAGCTTATTTTTAGCAGGATCTGGTTCCCCCACAATGCTCCCAGATCAAAACAGCATCCAGAGTTAGCAGGAGCCAGCAGGTGTCTATCTTGCCCTTCCTCCAACACTTTAAATGGAGGTTTGGCCAATGAGAAGAACAGAAAAAGGGCCCTTCTGCAAAGCCTCCTTGTGAATGTGCTATAATTTATTAGAAGATCCAGGTGACACAATGCCCAGGTGAACACAGACTCAAGGAGATTTCCTTGACTGAAGGAAGTCGGATGGGAGTGGCAAGCTGGGGCTGAAGGAGTTTTACATTCTCTGGACGAAGATTCAAAAATACCAAGTAAGGTCCCAGAAGGGCTTGGTGGAGGGGAAGGTGGGTCTGTGTCGGGGAAGGTTCTTGCACATACTTCAAGATGCAGCAATGCCTGTGGAGAGAGGGAGCATTCCCAGGGGATTGAGATTCTACCCATAATGGAGCTCAGAATGAGTAAGGAAGCACAGGGCTGGGCAGATGCAAACAAACAGAAACAAGCAGTCTGTTCTCTGCCCTCGCCTGATTATTGGGTCACCTAAAGGCCACCATCAAGGGTTTCCTGAAAAGGTGTGTGGCCCCTTGTAGTTTGGATTTTTAACAGCTCAAGTACAAGAACTACATAAGAACGTGAGCCCATGGCACTTGGCTAGCTGATTTGATAGGCATACTTACAAACTAGCTCACAGAGAAAGGCAAAATACTATTAGCTATTTAAGGCGGAAACATGGGTGATTCTTCCAAGGCCAGACTCATGGCCCAGAACTGGAAAAGCTTCATCCCTTCTCAGCACATACCACAGAAGTAATTTGCCACCTATTTTGCTTTGGTTCATTGCTCCTATAACTATTTTTGCATGTTCCAGAAAATTTACCGGGAAATCGACGTTGACAGGTCTGGCACCATGAATTCTTATGAGATGAGGAAAGCATTAGAAGAAGCAGGTAACGCTACATAACTGTGTTTGCTTTCTGTGTGTTATCTATGTGTGGAACGCATGAACACTTACTCCATACCATGCAGTACAGAGTTTGGTAAGCTACAAAATAAAGTAGGTTCTGATGTAACACAAACACATGCTTTGCGTTCCCCTTCAAAGACTAGTTGGTAAAGCTCAGTGCCATCCAGTGTGCTGTGCCCTCTGTGCCTGCTGGAATCCAAGTTTCCCTCAGAGCAGCCTGGCAGGGCAAGCAGCAAAGCCGGTTCTCAGCACACTTGCCCCCAAGCTCCTCCTTCTGGTGAAAGGCTGGTTAGGCAGAAATGGAATGTCTCAGCCCAACCCTTTGGGTAAGTCCCTTGCAGAATTAGGTATGAGTAAAAAGGACACATGCTGTGGTAGACGAGCGTAGCAGGAGACTGGTGTGCTTTGGGAACAAACATGACATGAGGTGGTTCACTCTACTGGCTGCTATAGAGAGACCCCAAATAGCAGTGGTTTAAACAAGATGCATCTTTCTCTCACTTAACAGTCCAGGCTCAAGCAGTCTCAGGCTGGGATGGTGCCTCCTACTGTCAGGGCGTCAGGCTTCTCTGGCTATGTTGCGTCACCAGCCCTTGCAGTACTGCCCTCATTCGAGGGACCTGGGACAGCTTGTCACCACAGTCAAGTGCTGCCAACAGGTTGACAGAAGGCTCCTTGCCTTTAAGAAAGGGCACACATGTCACTTCCGCTTACATGTCCCGGTGGCCAGAACTCAGTCACAAGGCCTCAAAGAGCCGCCAGGGAAGCTGGGAAACGTAGCGTTACCTCACCTGTGCAGTCATGGCCCAGTAAGAGTTACTTTGCTGTGGGAAAAGGGAAAATGAACATTCGTTTACCATGAACAGTTTCTGCCACATATGTCCAGGTACAATCTGGATGCCGAGGATTCAGAGGTAGGCAAACAGAAAGGAAGTGTGGTTCAGAACGTGAAGCAGCGTGAGAATGAACATTCGTTTACCATGAACAGTTTCTGCCACATATGTCCAGGTACAATCTGGACGCCGAGGATTCAGAGGTAGGCAAACAGAAAGGAAGTGTGGTTCAGAACGTGAAGCAGCGTGAGCGTGGAGACAGGCCTGGGCAGGAGAAGCCTTGCACGCCAGTCAGTGGGAAACAGGACAGTGGTGAGCAGCTTGGAAGCAAAGGAAGTAGCAGAAGGTACTGGCTTTGCAAAGTGAAGCAAGTCTCACAGAAGAGCATTTCAGTTGCCACGTCAGTTCCATGACCTATGAACAGAGCTACAGGCTGCATCTGATACTTACTGGTCCATGTGTTCATTTAACTGCAGGTTTCAAGCTGCCCTGTGAGCTCCACCAAGTCATCGTTGCTCGGTTCGCAGATGACCAGCTCATCATTGATTTTGATAATTTTGTTCGGTGTTTGGTTCGGCTAGAAACACTGTTCAGTAAGTGGATATTTGGGGAAAGAGCCATTTCCATTTTCTCGGTGTTAGAGCAGCCTGCCTGTCACCGGGGCTGAATCCACCTGAGCCAGAGGCACGCCTGTCCGGGAGCCGAGAATGTCTTCACTACTTTGGGGAAGGAGGGAAGAAATAATAGCTGCGACGTTCAACAAAATCAGCTGCCAAATTGGGGAAGAGGATAATGTGATCTCTGCAGCAGCTCACTCACTTCTTCTCCCTTCACAGAGATATTTAAGCAGCTGGATCCCGAGGATACTGGGAAGATAGAGCTCAACCTTCTCTCTGTAAGTCTGCGGCTCACACCAGCCACTCACTCCCAAGGGGACAAGGGAGGTGGGAGCAGAAAGGGCCGCCACTTGGGAGACCTGCGTTTTAAAGTTTCACTTCAAAAATCTTTTGGCCTGTCGGGAATAGGCCTATAAATGTCTGTGGGAACCCACATGCCCTTCTACCTGCAGTCACCTCCTAGCTCCCTACTGACTCTCCAGACCAAGAACACACACCTGCCTCCCTCCTCCCAGGAGCCTTGACTTACATGTTGCACCAGGTTAACTAAGAGGAGGGTGGCCACAGGATCACTCAGAAAAACGAGCTGCTAATGAGCATGCATGGGAGAAGGTGCTTATATAGAGACCCTCTGGGTGAAGTTCAAGTTAGGCTTTGAGAAGATGTTATTCTTACAAGAGATCTACTTTAAATGCTTTCTGAGCAAATTGCTTTTCTCTATTTCCTCTCCCTTTAAAAGAAAACTAACAATAGTAAGTGAGCTTGCTATATATTTTGTGCTCCTGTGTCTGGAACCCCAGCAATGCTCATCTCTGAAATGACCATCAATCTGAATCAAGCTGGCATACCAATTTCACAAAAAGCAAAGTGTAAAATGTTTTCTTGTCATCCCAATGACAGGAAGTTCTGTCACTGACAGAAAGCAGTCAGGTGGGGTGTAGTTCCATCATCACCTGGCTTCAGCCAGCATTTCCACTATACCTGGGGAGGCCACAAAGGGCTGGGTGAGGCAGAGTCATGGAACGGAGGAGCACAGTGACAAGGACAGGCCTAAGGCACTGGCAACTCTCTTCAATTTTGAATGCTGGAGGAAACCAGCAACTAAATTAGCTGGTTCGCTCTGCTGTAATGCATTATAAAGTGCCTTTAGCCAGCTGAAGACATAGCGTGGCTGGTTACAGATAGCACTAACTTGCTTAAAACCATACATAGCCTAAGAGATACCCCTACCCCAAGATTGCAGTCTAAAGTGAGGTCAACACAATCGTCACATAAAACATGCCGTAAGTTGAGTTCTGGAAACCCTAACCCCTTGGTCATTCTTGCTGTATATTGTATATCACCCCACCCTGTCTGCCTGGCCTGTCTACTAGGCCCACTCCCTCCCTAGTTCCTCTGAGGAACATCTTACCCACTGGCTTTCCCTCCCACTCCAGTAAGTTGAGTTCTGGAAACCCTAACCCCTTGGTCATTCTTGCTGTATATTGTATATCACCCCACCCTGTCTGCCTGGCCTGCCTACTCGGCCCACTCCCTCCCTAGTTCCTCTGAGGAACATCTTACCCACTGGCTTTCCCTCCCACTCCTAACTAAGCCCCACTTTTCACAGGTTCCTAGAGATCCTCACTTCTAGTTGTTTTTGTTAAAGATGAGTAAGGTGCAGAAAGTCTCCTCTGTAGTGTGCAGTGTTTTTCAACCTTGGCTTCAGCCTCCTCTGGGGAAGGGGAAGTCCCATATTACTCCAACACAGATCAAGGGTGAAAACCACTGGTCTCAGGGATGTCCATACCCCAAACTAACTGCTGATGCGATACTCTGAGGCAGAGACATGAAAATGCTAATTTACATTTGAATTTCACTTTTCACGTATTCAATTACCCTTGTAATGAATGATTCATAACCATGTGATTCGAATAACACACAGACTACTGACCTGTAAAAAGCTAGACTCTAGAAATTAGGTAGAAAAAATGTGAGTTCATGTGCTAATATCCTAACTCTTGATCAGCTTTTCTAGTACAACAGCCAGTTTTTCAGAATAATCTATCTATAGGTAGTTAGCCCCTAATTTAAAAAATGGCCACTAAGCTGGCTTTTTTTTTCTTCCTCACAGTGGCTCTGTTTTTCAGTACTTTGAAGTTACAGCTTGTTTGCCTGAAGACTTCTCATGAAAGAAAATCAGCCAAGGACTAAACTTCCGCAGAGAAACACCTTGTATCTCAACCTTGAAATTATGGGAACATTTACTTAAACTGATGATTACAGCTGAAAATAATGATACTGTTTATTTGAGACAGCAGGACATTCACACATCAAAGTAAAAGGTTTGCACAGCATACTAAATGCGAGTCGCTTAACCCTTGATAAGTTCAGAGAAAGCTTTAAATCTGTAAATAGTATACACTTTTTACTTTTACACACTTTCCTGTTCATAGCAATAATAAATCAGGAAAAAATGCAGGGAGGCATTTAACAGCTGAGCTAGCATTAAGTCAGTCTCATGGACAGGAAGCCCTTGCTGGGATCACTTAAAGCAACTTCAAGTTTAAAAATGCAGCTGTGGCATCTCCCAAACAGCAGCCATTTCCTTTGAGAAATCTGGGAAATACGATGTATCATGAACTAATCTTGCCAAGGCACCTAAGAAGTCCAGTTGAGAGAGCATACCTCTGTCATTTAGGTTAAACAAGAGACAGGTTTTATACGAGGGTAATTACAAAAGTTCATGGAAAGATTTGTGTTATCTGTTAGTTCTGTTTTTCCACTAACTTTTTGAAGTACCCTCATATACTACTGATCATTCTTCTTACGCTCAAGTCCTTGAGCATATTTGGCCTTATGCATTTAGTTTTATAAGTACTGAAGTAATACACCTAAACCAGGCATCCAGTTTGCAAACCATTTACGATCAAGGAGAAAACAAGCTGTTTGCCACTTCAAAATTTTATGAACTTCACCACCACTAGTGTTTATGCATGGAGGTAGGGGGGATATCATTTAGGAGTTTTTATGGAAATGACACAAGCTTGTTTCCTGGCTTGACCTTGGGAAAATACTAGCGACATTATAAAAATATTGCCTTGTTGCCTTATCTTCTTCCAAATATACTGTTCAATAAACAGTTGCCCTGTGCAGTCACATCTTGCCACGTTTTCCTTCCTGGAGGGTGGCCCCAGTGGGTTGGTTTATAAGCATACGTAATTATAGCTTGTTTTTACTTTAACAAGGTCTGCTACCCCTATAAATTCACATATTGAGAGGAAAAGCCATCTTACCTACAATTAAAATGTGCAACTGTATTTTAAAAATCCAATTCAGAAACTCTGACACTTGGATCATAAAGTAAGGGCAGCTCTAATCTCTCTACTTGTTGGTCTCTTTCAAGGAGGCACAGAGTCTATGTGCCTCTCAGGAAGGTCCCTGCTTTACCGGCCACCTCAGTTTCACTTTGGCAGCTCCTAGTAGTGTAGGGAACAAGCCAGGGAGCTGAGAAAACGTGCAGGTAAATCACTGCTCTTCTGCTGGTGGTCCTTGAGGAATCATAAAAAGCAGGAAAGATGACTTGAGATAATAGGCAAATGCCATCCTAATATTTATTGAAAAGATAAGACAGATTCCCAAACTCAACTCGGATGAGTTGAGGTCTTCCTGTTTGCTGAGATTTTGAGTGCCCAGAAAAAAGCAGGAAAGATGACTTGAGATGATAGGCAAATGCCATCCTAATATTTATTGAAAAGATAAGACAGATTTCCCAAACTCAACTCGGATGAGTTGAGGTCTTCCTGTTTGCTGAGATTTTGAGTGCCCAGAGGATGTTGGAGAACACAAGTATGTAGTAACCCAATCTACTCAGGTGTGCGGTTTTTCTCTGCTCAGCAGCACAGGCTTCAGGATAGAGGGGTAGATGTTTGGACTGACTCAGAATTGAAGGTGGGCAAGGGAAGTGTGGCTGAAGGACCAGGGGACAAAGAAGTGAAGGGTGGTGACTGCAGTGGTTGAGTTACGGGACCACGGGGCCAGGCTGGGAGGGGCAGAGGGAAAGCAGAAGGGGTCTGCTTGAGGCTCCGAGTGGGGAGACAGGCAGGCCCTCCTGACCCCCAGAGGATATCGCTCCACACCTGGACCAGTGCACTGGGCGCCACACCCTCCCCATGGCACTTGCAGCTACAGAGCAACCTAGATTATGACCTCACTTTTAAAGGTCTATTTTAATAGCAACATAAGGAATAGTGTTTAAAAAAGAAACAAGGTATACACTTATACACTCATCATAAATTTAGAAAAGACTGAAGACAAACGGAGGGAAGTGACCAAGCATCCTACATAACAATATATATAACATTTGTCAATGCCCATTATACAGGGAAAAAACAGGTGATAATGTAAGCCGTCTCCACTTTCTCAGCCTCTACGAATATATCCTAACCTAAGCCTCACTATTTCCTTCCCTGCGTCCCCTGAACCTCTGCACACAGTCTCAGGCCTCTCTTCTAGGCCCTCTAATTGATTAGCCCCTCTCATGTCTTCAGTTTCTCTTCCCCCACTTCTCTCCCCACAGCATTTAAACAGACCTAAGTGCCTACTGCATCCTGAACTACCCCTACCATTGTCCCCACTTCCTCCAGAGCCAAGCAAGCCTCCTGAGAAGCTGCCATGCTAGATCTCTATTTCATTACCTACAGTCTGGCTAACAGCCTATCTCCTAAAAATGCTGCTTTTTACAATCACCAGTTAACTTCTCACACCGAGTCCTAGAAACACCAACCAGCCACTATCTCCCTGGACATCTCTGCTACCTTAATACCATTCACTGTTCCCTCCTCTTGAGAATCTACACTCCCCTGGTTCCTACTCATCTGCTTCTCTTGCTAACTCTGCTTTCACGTGACACCCCCTCCCCACTCCCACCTCCCCTAGTTAAAACTCCTCAGTAGCTCCACAGCCATTAGAATCTGAGCACAGCTAAAGTTTACACACACCCCTTTTAGCATGGTCCACCCTCCAACTGCTTTACTTCCCCTTATGTTGCAAAAATCCAGAAATTCTGCTACCACTAATATATGACTACAGCATCAATTATAACAACCATTCAACATTAAACGATTCAATAAACTACATGATAGAATATTATGGAGCCATTAAAAATCATGTTAATATTTATGATGCAATGTCAAGCATAAAAGAGGAGAATATGGAACTGCTTAAAGAGTACACTCTCAACTGGCGAAAACATCACAGGTAAGGCTACAGAGAGCAACACTGCCTCTGGAGTAGTCTTCCCACCCCTCCCCAACCTATTTCTGTACTTTTCTTAAAAAAACATTTCTATAAGGAGCTTTGATAATAAGAATACTTTGATGATAAACAAGTATGTTGCTCTAAGCTTAGAACCAGGAAACAGACTGAGGTTGCCACTGTTCCCTGATTCTCACACCTTCCCTCTTGGTGCATTTGTGGGACTCTTTAGTTTACCACATACTTTCATGTACAGTACTTGGTGTGATTTTCCTCAACAACTCCCAAGTATGCAGAGGCAGTGGCACTGAAATCCACATCCCAGATTAGAAAAACAAGGCTCAGGGAGGTCAAGTGTCCTGGGCAAGGTCACAGGATGGCCTGGTAAATTCAGAAGCCCAGGACTAGAATCCACATTGTATTTGTTTCCTGTTGCTGCTGTAACATATTAACATAAACTCAGTGGCTAAAAATACCCATTATCTCACAGTTCCATCTACTGGAAGTCCAACTCCAGTCTCACCGGGCTAACACATTCCTTCTGGAGACCCAGGGAGGCTCATCTCCAGGCAGCCCACTCAGCGTGGCAGAGCTCGGCCCCATGTGGCTGTAGGACTGAGGTCCCCATTTCGTGGCTGCCTTTCAGCAGGGCTTGTTCTCAGCTTCCACTCCCCAGTTCACGGCCCCTTCGTCTTCAAAGCCCGCAGTGGCAGACAGTCCTTTCCACACACACGCCTTGCCGGCCTCCCTTCTGCCTCAGCCCTCCTGCTCCACTTCTGCTTTGCAGAGCTCATGTGGTTACACTGGGCCTACCTGGATAATCCAAGCTAATCACCCTCGTTTAAGGTCAGCTGATTAGTAAACATGATTAAATGTGAAAAGTCGCTCACAGCAGTACCTAGGTTAGTGTGGGACTGAATGACCAGGGGACAGGGATCAGTGGGAACTCTGCCTGCCATGTTTTCTGACGTTCAGTTCATGCTGTCACTCTCCCCATTCCTCTGAAATGTGTGGAATGTTCTGTTTTTCATCCACCTTCCTTGCTAGAATTTTGCTACTCAAAAATGTATAAGGAAAAGTGACCATTGGTTTTTCATTCATATCTTCTAAGTAGTTCCACTAACCAAAACGAGTTCTAAAACAATTCATGAACTTGGTACCATACTGCATTGGGGGGGGGGGGGGG